TAAGCGATTTCGAACTAATAATTGCCTTGCTGTACAGGTGTTTGTTCCTAACTATGAGCTAAAAAAGTCAAGCTTCATATATTTGTTGGCAATTTGTCATATGCTACTTTCAGTCTTTCATCATTGATTTTGGATTTTCCTTAAATTTAGGAACATGTATAGATGGAATCAATAATTATACATGTCGATGCCATGCTGGTTTTGAAGGATCCTCATGTGATCAAAAGATCCATAAATGCACAAATCAATCATGTTATGTTGGTGTCCAGTGTACAGAGTCTCCCATTGGAATATCCTGTGGGCCTTGTCCGAATGGTATGTCTGGAGATGGAAAAACATGTACAGGTAATAAAAGTAATTTCTAACAAAATAGTTTATTAACATTCAAAAACTCTCTAGGCAGTTCAGTTCATCATTTCGGTTTTAACATAGCTCAATATGATGATACAAAATCTTTTATATTGCTATTATATAACAATGCAAACAAAACACCTTGAATCAGTAGTTTTTGAATTTCACTTTTTTGTTGCGCCAGCAGACTAATAGGTCTGCGGACAATTATCATTATGACCATGCGCACGCATGGAACCCCTTGTTGTTTATTATTTGTCGGTCAGCCATCTTGTTGCCTTTTTACTCGTTCACTACTATTAAAGGCTGTTTATCGTTACGCGTTGACTCATTTACTGGCGTTGGTTGAATACACGTCTGCAACCAACAACTAAATGTAATCTCATATGATAATATTTATTAGTATTACCATACTAGTAGACTATGGCAAATCCTAACCTCATTGGCTATCAGCTCCTAGTCCACTCGCCCTCGAGGTCTAATTGTTAAATATTTTTATATATATTTCCCTTAGCTCCAACCACTACAAGTCTACCAACAACTACTGCAGAAATAACAACAAAAGGTAGGTGCATAATGTTATTACGTCAACCAACAACTAAATGTAATCTCATAGAATAATATTTATTAGTATTACCATACTAGTAGACTATGGCAAATCCTAACCTCATTGGCTATCAGCTCCTAGTCCACTCGCCCTCGAGGTCTAATTGTTAAATATTTTTATATATATTTCCCTTAGCTCCAACCACTACAAGTCTACCAACAACTACTGCAGAAATAACAACAAAAGGTAACTGCATAATGTTATTACGTCAACCAACAGCTAAATGTAATCTCATATGATAATATTTATTAGTATTACCATACTAGTAGACTATGGCAAATCCTAACCTCATTGGCTATCAGCTCGTAGCCCACTCGCTCTCGAGGTCTAATTGTTAAATATTTAACAATTAGACCTCGAGGTCGAGTGGACTACGAGCTAATAGCCCATGAGGCCGAGTCCGCGAGGCCGAATGGGCTATTAGCTCGTAGTCCACGAGGCCGAGAGGTCTAATAGACCATTAGTATGTTTATACTAATTTTATATATATTTCCCTTAGCTCCAACCACTACAAGTCTACCAACAACTACTGCAGAAATAACAACAAAAGGTAGGTGCATAATGTTATTACGTCAACCAACAACTAAATGTAATCTCATAGAATAATATTTATTAGTATTACCATATTAGAGTACAAACACTAAAACTGTGCAACATAAATACCACTAAATACTGCTAAATTATGATAATTCTATTGTTTTCTATTGTTTAATTAACACTATTTTGTAGTAAATAGTGGAAAGTGGTGCACACATTTAACTTTTGTACTCTAGTAGACTAYGGCAAATCCTAACCTAATTGGCTATCAGCTTTTAGTATTGCCATACTAGTGWACTATTGCAAATTCTTCGTTCTGATTGACTACGCTACTCGGGGTCTGTTTTCAATAGTCCTCGACTAGCGAAAAGTGAAAACTTTTTTGCGTATTTTTAGCAATTAAAACATTTAGTTATTCATATATTTCATTCAGTTTTTGTCCAACAAGTATGGTAATATTAAAACAATTAGATCTCTCGGCCTCGTGGACTACAAGGTGCAAGTCCTATCGTTATTGGCTATCAGCTCGTCCACTCGCCCTCGTGGTGTACTTCTCAAATATTTTATTATATATATTTTCCTTAGCTCCAACCACTGCACGTCTACCAACAACTACTGCAGAATTAATAACAAAAGGTAGGTGTACCGGCGTCAACTGCGTGGGGTAGGAGAGATTCGTGAAAACTTAAGTGAAGGGACTCACGAATTCGACAAGGCTTGTTTATTGCTTAAACGTTATGCGAAGGCTGTGTTAGCTTCTAGTTTGTAACAATGTTGAAACCCGTCGACAATTTCTATTTTCTATTCTGTTTATGAACTTACAAAAATGTGGTTGACGGTATAAAGCTGATGTCACGTGACTTCAAGCTGTGATATATGTGTCAGTGACGTAAAGGAAGTTATGAATACGAATTACACAATACATTTTAAAAACTACTATAGGCATATGCCATTACACTAGGTGCATAATGTTATTTTTGAAAGTATAGATAAAGRATTTATTTATCTTTTTAAACTTGATTTGGTCGCTTTCTTTCAAAGCAGAAACCTCAACTGAAAAAACTACAACGGAGCCAACCACMGCTGCTTTACCTACTGAAGGGAAAACAACGGGAAAAGGTATAGATGATGTTTCGATGTAGTTTGACAATGKTTTTCCTGGACTGTTTGTTGGCTTGTTTCCAATGGAAAAGTTGATCAATTTACATAGTTTGTAAATTTACTGTAAAGTAATCACTCCGTGTACAGACAATACGTCCTTCTGATCACTTAATACAACATATTTATAGAATGTGCATGAAATTTAAATTTACCAACTCTGTAAAAGGACTTTTGTAAATTAAAATTACAGTATTCGTAGCACACGATTTTATTGTCAAAAAAAAAACGGGCCGTACTTTCCCGTGCGGACCAGATGAAAGGAGAAAAACTAGTTTTTTATTATTAAAAAAGGTCGCTTTCTCTCTTTTTATAGTTGTACTGTTTAAAACAGAGTCAAATTAAATTTCTTTTTTCTCCATGTTTCAAGCCTTTTCTTTTKTCCTTCTATTTTGAATGACGAGAAAGTACGAATAAAAACGTATTTTTAYGTCCGATTCTCTATTAATTTTACAGTATTTTTCCCTATTAATTTAACTCTTTATCCCTGAAAATGCTATATAATATTTCTTTTATTGATCTTTCTAACTCGAGCCATACGACAGTTATGGAACCTCGTTTTTGCCGCTGCCTTATGGCCCCCTTATTACGTGCTCTACGCATATTATTTACAAACTTGTAAACTAATCAACTTTTCCAGTGACTGCGTCAATCAATGAAACTACATTTGAATCCAAAATCGCTGGTTAATTTMTAATCGTACAAGATCAATCAGGATCATACATGAGATTAAAAAATGAAACTGAAAACACTAAAACAGGCTTCAAAGCCTGAAACACGCTTTTGCCTTGATATACGTTCACTAGATACAACGGTAAAGACTGACGAACCRGTAACTGATGGACCGACTACTGCGGTTGAGACGGAGGTACCGCCCACAACAGAGCACTTTCCTGAAGAGAAAGGTATGTTATACTTTGCTTGCATTMATGTATTTTACGTTTACATTCAATCATATTAAAGTAATTTATTTCGATTTTTCTCACAAAAGAGCAATTTTTAGACAAGAAAACAGTGGTCTACGAGATTTTATTAAGTACTTAAGTTCACGACCATTTTTACCATTCAAATCTCAAAATAGCCGCTGATGATATAGGTTTCAGAATGTGACAAATGATAAAAATCAGTGTATGATTGTTGCGCATGCATTTCACATACTCTTCAAAATGGAGTACAAGCAATATACATGGGAAACAGTTAGAGTGGGCTCAGTTAGCCCGTGAAACAAAAATTACTGATTATTACTAAATAGTGGAACTAAAGGAATCAGCTGCATAATTAAGTTACAACTCCTTAGTATTCACTCTATTGCCTATACTAATAGRCAGTATTTTCACTCCTAATTAACTCTTTTTTTGTCCGCTTTAAGAATTATCAGTACTACCGTACTGATGTTTCTAAACATTGTAAGTTTCCGAGATCGCAAATGAAGACAACCAAATGTACTCCATGTCAACAGCTAGTAACAAAACTCTATCTTAGAGTTGAAAACATTTCACATCGGGCGCGATATCTGGGCAAAAAGGACCCCTGAAAAATAGGAATGCCTAAATTTCGACTTTTGCTGCACCGGATAAGGGTGAGAATCAATCACGTTTCTTGATCTTCAGTTTTAGAGTCGAAATCATCTTTTGCAAATCGAAATTGGCAGGATTTTTTGAAATCGGCCACTCCACGTCTTTAGAATTTTTGCTTTTTTACAGATCTAGCCACAGGCCYCTTTTTGAGACCCAGCACAGAAAACACAGATTTCTCACTTGCGCGTTCTTAAAAACGGTTTTTGGGCSAATTTGAGAGCGAGTGCTGGCTAATTTAGCGAGCCGTCTCAAAGTCGCCAGGCGTCGCTGAAGTTAACAAACTAGTCCAGTCAAAATACAATTTGACCTACTAGAACTAATTGCAATAGAAGGTTTCTTTACATAATCTAACTCAGAAAAGCACCTAAAACAACATACTAA